TGAAAAGCGATTAAATAAGACGAACGCGACGCGAGCATATATTATACCTATCTTGTATCTTGTTTGATAATAATTATTTACTGCGCCTACACACATATTCTATAATAAATACGTTCCATTTCGTCAGTATTTTACGGGTATGATAAAGATTATTAAGTAGGTATACAGTTTAAAATTTAGGAAATAGATGTTTATATCTAGTCATATAAAAAGAATAACTGCTAATTCTTTTTTTATAATATTCCTTGAAGTACGAGGATGGTTCTTATGAAGGAAATTTTAGGAAAATCCACAGGAAAAAGTAGGAAAATCTAGATGTAAAAAATACAACAGTTCCTCAACAGTGTATTATAATATATTGGTTGCCTATTGGTTAATCGTTCATGTTTGTTGATTTGTTTATTAATTTTTGTCATATATATATATATATATATATATATATATAGATATGATGTTGTGTGTAGATTAGACCTCTGGAAATAAGACAGGCTAATTTAAAAATGGTTAAATTTGGTTATTTTTATTCATCTGACATTAGTACGGTTAGGTTAGGTTAGAATTTGGTATTTATTGATTATCTTAATCCACCATAGGTGGAAAGGTACATTTTGAACACCATAAACCTAATATTAAATAGCGAATTGAACAAATAGATAGGGTACATTTAACGGAAAACGAAGTGCACGGAATCAGCTAGTTGTATATAATTTTATATTACACTTTATTTGTTATTTACCTTATACTTTTTACGTACACCTACATGAGCTTTTTTGTTGCAGCTTACAATGTACGCAACTACAGTTTATGTATGAGGACAAATGACGAGGGTGTATCATGTCGGGACGATTTGACATATTATTTGTATATTTAGTGCTTGTACTAGGTACCTATATAATATGGTACTATGGGGCAGATTTATTTAGCCAGTTTCGATTTGCCCATCAAAAACACTTGGAAGGTAACTACAAAATATTTTTTATCTCTGGTACGGTGTATTAGATTCAGATTAATACCAAATGAATACGAGAAGATTTTGTAGTTTAATATTATTACATTTGATAACACTTAGTTATACAGAGCACAATTTAACGAATATTGAAATAAAATGGTGTTTTCAAAACGTGATGGTGTGATGTTGTATCAATAATATTGCTTGTTAGTTATTACAAAGTTTCACTGATCGTTAATATTTTGCATCCATCGTCGGAAATAATATGACGTTCTAACCTTTGGTACTGCTTAGTGCTTAATATTAGAATTAAGTACATACTATCTATTCTACAATCTAGTATGTTATACAAAGTGCGTATATTACTATACATGTATATAGAGTACAACGTGTTGAATTTGTGTTAAGCCAATCTCTCGAGTGGTGGCAGTGGTTGTGGCAACAGGTGGGGGGCTCATCCGGGGAATGAAAACGACATGGTAAAAGGAATTAGGGTCGATTCGCATGAGACGTTGGTAAAACAATAACACGATAGACGTTTTCCTATCGCGTGTGTACATTATTGTAGTGTTATATAAAGGCAACTACGACACTTAACCCAAATAATATATATATATACCTACATATATATAATATATATATATATATCTATAATATACACTTATTTTATTTGCGCTGTATATAATATACGCTCCACAAGTGTCTAAAGGTATAATAATATATAATATATTTAATAGTATAGTTCCCTCGGGATAGGAAGCCGTTTTCGAAATGTGTCGTTTCATTCGACCGTTTCCGTTTGCTCGCACCCCTCACAGACCCTCCCACCGTGACGCAACCCTCCACCGCGACCCTATAACGCGAATATATAATATAATATCTATATAAACTTGGTTATATATTTATGTTTATATCAATATATTATGACTTCCCTACAGTCTCCTACGTGCACTTCTGAATATTTTTTTGTTTTTATTATTATTATCACGCAGCTGCACATCATGAACTATCATCGTATAAGATAGACCCACCCACGCCGTCTTCCAGTCCTTCGCTCAGGTCACCATTTGTTCTCAATACCTACAAACACTAGTCATAATAATATGTGTTAAACTACAACGCCAGTGGTGTAGTAAATAACATTAATTGTACAGCGGTTGGTACATGATATTATTTTTAGTGAAGTATATTAGTTACCAATCGTAAATAGGTAGGTACGTCTTAGATGAGTATGTTATATCACCGACTGTGGAATGTGGAAAACTGGATTTTACGACGTTTGAGTTTTGGTAGGGTTCTATTATATTCAATGATAACAAAACATTTTTTATTTAAAACTGACTTTTTTGACTTTTTTAAATCGATTGCTGAAATAGACGATAAATATAACTTATTATTTCAAGTTCGGATGTGGAAAAATAATATATTTAAATGTAATTTATTATTGGGTACACAATAATATAATGTCTACAATAATATGTTTAAACATTACACACAATGACGATTATAATAGCTGGACATTTTTTTTTTTTTTGTTATACCTAGGTACTCCAAGTTGAGAATAACTGTATTTCATAATTTACATTATGAAACAAACCGCGATCAATAAATTACGATCCCGTATTCTACTTTTTTGAAATGTTAACGATTTAAATATACCTAATTATAAAATGTAAAATATTTATTCAAAAGTAATGGTTTAGTACAGACAAAACCAATTTCAATAAAATATAAATGTTAAGTTATAATCGCGTTGGTATTGGCTTAAAATAAATTATGGTTAAAACTAGAATAAAAAATCCGTTTTTTTTTTTATTATTTCAAAACATTAAGTCATAATTTATTATAGAATCATAAGTCATAACTATAAAACAGACAACAATAATTAATCGTCACATTTCTGATGGTGCATACTATATTTCGAAAATATAAAATATGTACAGTGCAAATAAATTTTGAGTATATTGTATAAATAGTAACTCACTATAATTTACTCGAATAAAAGTTTTATAATTCACATATTGTATTTAATTAAGTAGGCTTTAGTTATTGCTGTAGAGGTTAAGGAAATACAAAACTTAAATGCACTAACACGCTACTATTATAACGCACACATTTAAACGAAATTGTTGGACCAATTTACTTGACAAATGGTACAAGATAATAATTGTTTTATTTGCAAGAAAATAAATTAAACGGCTAGGCTTAAGCACGCAAACAAATTATTACTTATAAACCCATTAAACGAGTCAGTTAGCCGAGTCTCACACAAATACATTAACGGCCATCGTACATAATATTATATTATGTCTACGTATTTCTATGGCTAATTATTATAATATTATATACCTACATTACTACATTGGTACATTATGTGCAGTACCTATATAATAGTTTATATTAACAAAATCATGTACTCGAATTAGACCGAATCGAATAATTCTAATCATCGTATTATGTATACCCAATTTATATATTATTGTGTTATACTTTTGTGGCTTAAGATTAAAACGATTATTTTTACTCGCGTATAGTTAGAAATACAATAACTTCAATGCAGCACGCCATTGAAAGAAATTCAAAATTTTTTTAAAAAAAACGTTTGAATATATTTCAATTTTTCTAATTTTCAATTTCTTCTAAACATTTTTAACATACAAGATGTATTTAATGTTCACCAGACATGTTTTCTTTCATGTAAGCATTTAAAGTAGGTACGATTCCACAGTACATAGTATACTAACTTCCATAATATACGAGTATTTGAATTCCAAAATTATTCAGATTTATGTGTTTTATTTCGTACAAATGTGTACACCCTCGCAACCACGAGTATTTAAAGTTCAATAAAACAAGAAGCTCCACCACATTTTGTTGAAGTATTCCAGTCATCTTAACATTAAATGACAGTAAATCATTATGCCAACGGCACTAATAGTTGACCGGTTGTAATTTTAACCACGCTACGGAACACACTCGAGGCTTTAAAAATTTAAAGTGTCATAATATAACTTGTGCACTCAGCACTGTGTTTGTTTGCAACTATTATTTTGGATTTGGTCGGCAAACATAATAATATTATGACTTCTGCAGAAGATAAATAGTTTTATAATATAATATTATATTGTTGTATGATTGATATAATGATCGAACAAATCGTTTGACTGACTGAAATACAACATTCTAGTGTTAGGTACCTACCGCATTGGGAAAATAATTAATATCAATACATGGCTGACGGGTCAGTATACATTGTACATTAAATCATCTATAATACTCCTATCCGGAGTACCTACACCCGATTTGTGCTCTACAGTTATTGCTTAACTTGCTGGATCAATAATTGTATGCATAATATATATTTAATGTGTTTTGTGCCACGGCGGTAGTCGTTGACACGAAATCACAGAAACGAACATTAACAACAAATTGGACCATCGCGAAAATAAAATATAACAATACGTAGTTCGGCAGCGGTTTTATTATCTTGGACATCGCATGTCCGCGTCTATAGAAAATGAATTACAAACGTATGTTTATCGAAATATGTGATTGGAACCGAACAAATTATTGTAATATCATCATTGTTCAGTAATGATCTCCGCCGCAGTGCATTAGGGTTATTATTGTAATCATTGTTCTCGACGTTACAATATTATAATTTAATAATATTATGACGATGTTATAGTAAAACCGTTAAGGGGTATCATTTTTTATTTTTTTTACAACAATAAAGTATTTTCCTCGTTGCTACTTGCTAGTCATCATTGTGATCGGTTTCTCTAGTTTCATTTTATAATATTATATTTTTTTTCTCATTCAGCGATACTCGTGCCCTGAGAGAATATATTTTTTTTTTTTTTTTTATTAAGAATAAGGCTTCGACAACGGTGGTCATTAGCCTGAAAAGGTTTACAATGGTAGATTAAGATTAGAAATATTTATAAAGTCTTATGTACATAGTAACATGAAAATTAAACAAAATGAGTAGATAAATAAAATAAAATAGTAGTGTTAAATAAAAAGGTAAAACAGTAGTATTTGCAGATTTTTATAATAGGTTGGATACTTTGATGGCATTAAAAAAGTTGAAGATGGCATCGGTGTTGGTTTCACCGAGTGCTTCTTCGATGTTGGAGGGGAAGTTTAAGATGCTTCGTTCATGGTTGTACTTGGTGCAGCTGAGTGTGAGATGTTCAATTGTCAGTGGTAGGTCACATTGATGGCAGGTTGGATGTTCATCATGGTTGAAAAGGAAAGAATGGGTGAGATGTGTGTGGCCAATTCTGGCTCTGGTTGTGACGATATCTGCTTTACGGGTTGTGTTTATGGGGGATCGCCATTTCTGTATGGTTTTTTTTATATTTTTTAATTTGTTATCCGAGGTGTGGTCCCATTGTGTTTGCCATTGTTTGTTTGAGATTAGGTTGATTATTCTTGAAAGGTCTTTATATGGTAGCGAATTTATAACAGTTGATTCAGTGGATGATATAGCTTGGTTCGCTAGTAGGTCGACTTCTTCGTTGCCTTTGATACCAGTATGTGACGGGACCCACATAAACTCTATAGTATTTTTTGAGTTAGCTATAATATTGATTATTTGTTGAGAGATTTCATTGGACGGATTAGGAGATAGTAAGGAAGTTAAGGCACTGAGAGAGTCGCTTATGATAAGGGCTTTTTTTATGTGGGTGGATTCGACGTAGATAGTTGCTTCTTTGATGGCGGTTATTTCTGCTGTGAAGATGCTGGCTTCAGTAGGTAGTTTGTATAGTTTTTTTACGGATCCGGAAATGAATGCACAGCCTGTGCCTGTTATGTTTTTTGATGCATCTGTGTAGATCAGGTTGAAATCATGGAAATCTGAGTTTATGATGTCGTTGAAATTTGAGGTAATAATGGAATGAGGGTTGAAGTTTTTGTTGAAATTTGATAATTGAGTGTGAACTTGAGTGGAATATAGCCAGAATGGAGTTGTTAGAAACGGAGATGACACTTCGATGTTGAGATGGAAGTTGGATTCCTTGCATATACGTGTGTAAGTTTCCATAATTGTAGCTGGTTCTTTGAGCGTGTAGATTTGGGTGGGTGACTTGAATAATTTGTATATTGTTTGGTTGGGGAAACTAAGTTTTTTTGTAACAAATTTTAGTATATTTTTATTTCTTCTGATTTGTAGTGGGGGTTCCCCTGAAATGCATAGAATGCTGTCAATAGGGCTGGTACGAAAAGCACCTATTGCTAGTCTGATTGCTTGGTTGTGGATTGGATTGATGATATGTTTAATGTTTGGTTTGGCTGAATTGTAGATAATGGAGCCATAATCTATTCTTGATAAAATCAGTGCTTTGTAAATTAATATTAGGCTGTTTTTATCTGCTCCCCATATGTGGTGGGAAAGAATTTTGATGATCTTAATTTTGGCGTTGCAGTTTGTTTTTAGTTTTTTGAGATGAGGGGCCCATGAAAATTTGGTATCGAATATCATTCCGAGTAGGCGGATGTTGTCTGTGTAAACTGTTGGAATGTTATTAATATAGATATGGTGAAGTGTGTTGTTTTTCTTTTTGTTGAAGATTATGCATTGGGTTTTATGTGGTGAGAATTTGAAGCCAGAATATGAGGACCATTGTACAAGTGAGTTGATAGCGTTTTGTAGGAGGGCTACAGTGGACCTGGTGTCAGTGCCACTACAATAAATATTACAATCGTCGGCAAATAGTGTGTACTTGACGGGTTTTTGAATGTTGTTGAAAATATCGTTTATGGCGATTAGGAATAATGTAACACTGATAACCGATCCTTGTGGTAATCCATTATCTAATGTTGTGTGATCAGATAGAGTGTTTTCAACTTTGACTTGAATTGTTCGGTCGGATAGAAAATTGTGTAAAAATGTTAGCATGTTGCCGTCTATGGACCAACTAGATAAAATATCAATGACTCTGTTTTTCCAGACCATATCGTACGCTTTTTCCAAGTCAAGAGCGACAAGGATGGTATGTTGATTTTTTTTGAAGGATTCGCTTATGTTGGTTTGTAGGGTGGCTAGGGCATCTTGCGTAGAATGGTTGCGGCGGAAGCCGTATTGCTGGGGGATAAATTTATGTGATGTTTCTAGATACCAAATTAGGCGTCTATTTATAATTTTTTCTAGTAGTTTGCAAAGTGTACAGGTAAGGGATATTGGACGGTAGCTGGTGATGTCAAACTTATTTTTTCCAGGTTTTAGGATTGGAATAACAATTGCTTGGCGCCATTTGTTGGGAAAAATACCATGAGTCCAGATGATGTTGTAGATGGCCAGTAGTTTAGTAAGCGCATATTCGGAGAGGTTTTTGATGAAGACGTATGGTATATCGTCAGGTCCCGAACTTTTGCTAGTGCAGTTGATTAATTCAGAGTATAGTTCTTTAATTGTTAAGGGGTGATTGTGTTCACTGTTGTTATTATGTATGTATGTGTTTATATTGAAAGCTTGATCCTTGGAGTTTTTGTAAATGGTGAAGTTATTATCAAAGTTTGAATTACTGCTGTTAATCTTAAACTGATTTGCAAATGATTGGGCAATGTCGCGAGGTGATGATAGTTCTATTTGGTTGTTATCGTGTTCATAGTGGAGTATCTTAGGTATCGGATGGTATTTTGTTCCTTTGAATGCTTTGATTTTGTTCCAGATGGTTGTTGAATGTGTTTGGTTATTGATGGTTGATGTGAATTTTTGCCAGGAAGAGGTCTTACTTCTTTTTAAGATATACTTGGATTCTGCACGTGCTTTTTTAAGGAGGATATGATCTGATGTTAGCTTGGTTTTTTTAAAATGATTTAGGGCTTTTTTATATTTTTTTATAGCTGTTTTGCATTCTTCGTTCCACCAAGGGACTATTTTGTGAGGGGCTGGACGGTCGGATTTTCCTATTGCAACAGTGGCTGCTCCAATGATAGAGTTTGTTAGTTTAAGTGTGAGTTTATCGATTATATTTTGTGTGATGCGGGTGATGTGGGTATCTTCATCGGTCACAGAATTTTGTAATGCGTGGTCTACTAAAGTAGAGAAGAGGTTCCAGTTTGGGTTTTTGAGTCTCCATTTCTGAGAGAATATTATTTATGATTATTTTGTACAATCCAACAGTAATTATTATTATTATTATTATTTTATTTATCATTGCCCCCATTTCTGCATGCATTTCGTTTGATCAGTTGGTACTTTCAGGATTCTTGAATTATTTTACTCGTTCTAACTTTATGTTTTACCGCTTACAAACGAGTGTAACCCAACTGTATAATAAAGGGTATCCATTATATAGTTTATTTATATTCTATACAAATAATATATTTTGAAAAAAAAGTAACCTTTTTAAATCTCTTGCAGCTGCTTTACGAATGCGTGGTTATGGTTTTATTATTCGAATAAGCAATACAACAACTACTAAAGTCGAATTCTGTATTCTATATTCGTATTAAACTTTAAGTCGGGTCCATTCACACAGTCATCCCATTTTGAAAATGTTCATTCCCGTTCAATCGTTCGTGCACGACTACAACAATCGTTGGACTTATCCTCAGATCATTTAAAAAAATATATATACAAATATGTATATATTTAACGTGGTGTAAGTAAATAAAAATGTATATATTATAAATTATAATATATAACATACCTACTCAACGCATTCGTTTAATTGGGCCGACGAACAAATAGTGTACAATATCTAATACTCCTAGGTTTATGGTATCTTAAACGTGGTATTTATGTTAATATGATATACTTTCGTATAATGGCTATCGAACCCGACATCAAACGAATGCAAGTATACAGATATCCCTTGTTTATAATAGTATAGTTCGTTTCTTGTGTATCAAAGTAACGGAAGTTATAAAATATTGATATATAATATACTGTTTGAACGTGTTTTATATCATACGCAATCAGTACACAAACGATATATTTCCTTACTGTATATTTCACTGTTACCCTACTGCATATTTCGTGAAAAGTAAACAAACAAAATATTTCAATAATAATGATGTATGAGTAGTGAATACGTACACACAACTCACAACTATATAATATTATTATAATTATTGAACAGTAATAATATAATTATTTAAATTCTGTAAAATGTAAATACATTAAAAATGAATCTGTTAAATTTGATTAAACATTAAACGCACCGGTGTATCTATTATTTTATATACCTACCAAAACTACTTGCAGTATTATAGACAAAATAATATTATAAACACTTATAAAATCCTTCAATTAATTCAAGTTGAAATAATAATTAACGCACCTATGTCCTATATACCTACAAAAAAACAAATATTATTATATTATCCACCCACTAATGTCTAATTTATTAAATACTATAATAAAAATATATAGTTTTTAAAATATTTTATTCCAAATAACAAAATGAGTTTTGATTTTAAAGAAAATTATTTTCAACGAAGTTTATTTTTAATAATTGATGACGTACTTGACAAAATTATACAATAATCAAAATCTAGGACTATTTTTAATATATGAGTAACGAATAGGCGTACAATATTGAAAACTATAATTATAATATTAGTATATAGAGGCATATTAATAAATTCTTTGGTCGAAATGGTCTCAATGTCTACAATGTCTTCCGGGGTTTTTGGATCAGATTTTCTCTCTTAAAGGCTAATGCACATATTTTAGGACGAATAGCCTGCAGTTATTGTAATATTTAATTCTGAAGAAAAAAATGCATTGTAATAATACAGTGTAATAAACATTTATAAAACGATTCTAATGAAATAATATTTCACATGCAAAACATAAAATAATAAACGATATAATATAATACATTTGATATAGAATTTAATCTACTGTATCGTATTTTCCGATATTTGTTTCAAATACATCCAATAAATTATAGTACATTTATAATTATAACCACAAGCTATTTAAATATTAATTGCAATTAATGGTAGGTACCTATCTGTTTAATAATGGTTGATATTATTTACTTAACGAAATGATTGAACAAAATTCCATCTAATTATAATTGATAAACATTTGGATTTGAAATATTCGATTTGTCGTTATTTGCTGTTAAGTAAGTATAACTAATCGATAAACACGATACAGCCCACTTGTAACATGTAACCAGGGTATAAACTCATTAAAAATATAATTAAATACCAATTTATTGGATTCAACAGCTGAAGAAGACAAAAAATCAATTACTGTATTACCAAGTATAAATAGTTCAAAACGTACGCGAATGTACACTGCTGCAGATATATTTAATAGTTATTAAAAAGAAAGTCTCATCAGTATATAAACAATACATTTAGCTTAATAACAAAATGGATTTTATTATTGTTCATAGATAGTTTAATAGTTCAATAAAATATAAACTTTTAATTTAGATAATGTATAAACTCTTTGTAGATGCTAAAGGCATTTCGCTATAAAAACGATCGACTTGTTAGAACAGTTTGACCCCTATTAATTGATCTAGTGATTTCCAAACATAATGTACGCGAGACAGGGTACTATGGTATATTTTTCATCTGGGGCTGAGCTATAATTTTATTGTAATAGCTAATATTGGAATTTAATATTTATGAATTTTTTCCGAACGACCAGCCGACCATAAAGTTCAAACAAAGACACAAATACTGAAATACGTATCTAATATTATATGGAACGTTTTAATAAAAATGTGTTTTACTCGATGTTTGGGAAAGAGTAAGTTTCACCAACAGGCGGGCACTATACACAAGATAATACATTCGGAGCAAACACAATTATGGAATAATAAACGCGCGTGTCGCGGACATAATGCACACGAGGGGTATTCAGAAATAAGGGAAGAAAATTGAGAGCTTTTAGAAGGGACAATAACTGCATTATTTTCTGCGGTAATAAAATAAATTCATTTTCGGTTCCCAAACACTTTTAAAAGCACTTAAGGAAATCATTCGTGATCGCGAGTGGTACCCCGAATATAATTACGCTATATCGGCGCTGCAGGTATATTATATTATGACCTACATACCTATTCCTATATA